GGGGAATCCACAGAAATATTCTGTTGACTATAAATACATTAGTATACCTCTCATTGGTCTATTCACACTTTATTAGACAATATTAAATAACGAACTATTACTCCATATTATACATGCACTCCAATACAGTCTCCGAAATAATTTTCACATGCCTTTAATGGCTATTTGTGTTATAATATTCATGGATTTATAACTGTAGAACCTGAAGAAGAATTTATAGAAAGGAATTGTTCACTCAAAATCATCTTGTTCTGATTACACTAAGGGGATTTATAATTTACATTCTTGTTGTCACAATAATACAGATATCATGAAGGTTGGTAGTGGACGCTGGAACAGACTTGTTTACTCGGTGAAGTAGTGACGCTACAGTTTCGATCGCTACTTTAATATGTCCCAGAATAAATAAGAAATAGTGTCACTTCGGTGTTTATTATGATGTCAACCTCCAGTGGGTGACGAGTCATCTTATACACAGAAATGTAAGGCTGCCTTTGAATGGGTTTTTTGTATTGATAACACTTTTGTGGAGTGCAGGTCTGCATATGTAACTCGAATGCACACAAATCTGTCAATAGAAATCATAGTATGCATGAGATATATATATGTCGAAGTTTCGGTGAAAAAGGCCATCGTGGTAACAAGATACTGAAGGTCATAAATTCCAAGATTAGACAGCGAAGTTAAAGTATTGTAGCTCCCCCCCCTGTAAATGACTTTCGTAAGCCAACTAGAGTAACAGGTGGTACAACCAAATCGAATTGTGCCTTATGTTATGGATTTCCATAACGAATTCCAAGAAGACCGGGTGTTTGACTACTGCGTAAATAATGGATTAAATGAAGTAATTAAAACATGCATATGCGAGGGAAAACTGACAGGATAACTAGTCGTTTGGAAGGATTTGGATTTTGGAGTAGATTGAAGGACAGAATCAGAAACATAACGAGATCTCAGAAACCCATAGTCTTTTACTGCTCTTTAATTTTGATCAGTTTTTCAAAGTCAGGGGTTAAATCGACCACCGATTGTTGTCAAATTTACTCCCTGTAATTTTGCATCTTTCATACATTAACATTTTTTAAATGACTTACGTGATCTTATGACTTATGCTCCCCAATATGGCGTTACTTCCCTTACCTACTATACAAAAAACTTAGATTACTTTACACAGTGGATTGCAGCAGTCTGTTAGTATTTTACTAACTTAACATTACGATTCATCTGTATGTAGCAGGATTATTCCTAATCATTTCTCCAACAAACTAAAGTCTATTAAAATTGTCGTGAAACTGTTTACTTTGGTTAGACAATTTGCAAACAGTTGACAACATATTGACTAAAATGAATGGATCTCATTTCTCTTGCACCGTTGTTGCACTGTTTATTATTTTGCCAGAAGGCCTAGTTAAGCACTGAATTTGAAGGCTTTATAGGCTTTAATAATACAAGCGAATTCATCCATCTAAGATTTATATTTAGATTATGGCATTTGGATTAATTTCAAATGTTAGATTTCTTTACGAATCAATATCAATTGAAGAGATCATTGAGAATCAGGGAGCACTGGACAACTGTTTTTTCCTGTTTTGGGACTATTTATCAGCGTACACGCACGATCTCACAAAGGGGGTGAACCCTGGACCTTCAGATTGTGAGATAAAACTCATCTATGTAAAATTTATATCACACTTAGTAGTCCTATTATTAATAAAGTTTAGGCGGATATTTTTTTAGTTGTTTATTCACCTTTCTTATTTCTGAATAGACGGTCATTATATTTCACTTCAGAGTAGATGGAGCCAGATGACACAGAGAAAGATATAGACATGCATACATGCACAAAAAGAGAGACAGAGAGAGATTGAGACAGAAAGGCTGGAAAGGTAAATAACCCCCTAAAATGACTACTATTCACAGGTAAGATAAAGGTGGCCAGGGTGGATTTAATTTGTTTATGTATTATGTGTCATAAAACCATTGAATCAGTTAAACAATCAATCAATCAATCAAATAAACAAACAAACAAACAAATCAATCAAACGACAGGTCATGGAAAGTTAATATACATCTGGTGGTTTGTATGTTGATCGTGTTTTTGTGCGTTTGTTCATCGACAAGAAATGGTTTGAAAATCAATTACACACAATATAGAAAACATTAAATTTCTGGTTAACGGATTTGTTAATTTGATTTTATTTTCCACAGTTTATTTCTTCCTATATATATCTGCATTCAATATATACCTATGTACACATTGAAGTTAATGAACGTTTGTCAATCATTGGCTAATATGATTATGGGGAATCGGTTACGGTTGTACTGTATTCATGTTGAATGTTCTGCTTATTTTTCTGTTATAATGCATTCTCTGGAGATTGTCTCTAAATTGGGATTGAATTAAAATGCATGTGAACTTGTCCAAAAGTTTAAGCGGATAAATATCACTTTCTTGTACAATTTAAGTCAATAATGCTGTGATCAGTATTCGATTTTTAAATTGGGCTAAAACTTTGTTATTATAAACGCCAGTTGATTAATTCTAACAGCCACAATTTATTTGTGTCTTAGACGAGATTTCTAGCTTAAAATAAGTTGATCACACATTCAGGATACTAATGTCTGTCTGACTGCATAAATGCGTCTGTTCAGTTGAATTTAGCGATATTTTTCGGCTGAAAGTATCAACCATGGAGTAAATGTGCTCGAAATTCTCATTCGCTTAAAATCTTGTGTCGTTTACTGACAGCCATTTTTCTCAGAACTACTAACCAGTGATAATCGAATGATTTCAGTCACGTGTAGTCAAACCTACTCTCCTCGGTGTCAGATGTTTGAAAGCTGGCCAGCTAATATTATTAGTAGCCTCAGATATCAAATTTGTTGGTTAATATTCATAGGCAAGATAATTTTTATTGTAGTAACTTCATATCCCCGACGGAACATGCGTTATCTACGCTCCCGCTCCCCCTAAAAAGATGAAGATTAGTTACCGAAGTAGTAGAAATGCTGTATGTGTATTCTAGTCATCACCAGATGGAATATACAAAAGCCCCAGCTTCCTTTGAAAGTCTGAACTCAATTTTTAGAATTGTAGTAAAAAGACTAAGTCTTATGCAAGCAGGTGTCTGATTTGTGAAAAGTCAGCCAACTTTGTGCTTCCAACCTGTCACTGCTCCACTGGTGTGTTTGTTTGCGCAACTCGCAGCACTTCGTCTGATACAAAGTCAAAGTCGTCTCACAAAAGCACGATATTAACATTCGGCTGTAAAGTGATTAAGTGAGTATCCGGTGAATGACTTACTACTGAAACAAATAGTTTTAATAGTTTATGACATAGGAATAATTTGTATTCCGATTTTTTTACAACTGTAATCGTCATTTTTGTCCACAGAAATATCAGTCTACAACACTTAAAAGGAGCGTACTAGGGCGTCTTATTCACAGCGTATTATTTACAACTTATAACATGAAAAGCTAGATAAAAAAAGTAAAGTACAATGATGTAACCCTGTAACTCAACGCCATAAAGCTAACATACAGGAAAGTACTTAATTACTAACAAAGTGGATCATGCAGAAGAAATTTCCTAGTTTCTTTGAAGGCGCTTTAGAGTTTATATTTAGTCTAAGAATTCAAAAGACATCAGAGTAATAATAATGATAATATCCGGGTTTAAGTGCACATTTACTTTATTATATTTAAGGAGCAGATATCAAGTGTGTCTTGTCAAATTTATCTGATTATATCAACTTTATTTTTATACGAAAATGAAATGAATAAAAGTATGTAGCAAAATGTTTAAAGGTGTAAATAAACAGAGGGTAAAGTGTTTTAGATAGCAGAATCCCAGCAGTGATATCCCTGTGAGTTACTTTCATTCTTCTGGATGCTCATTAGAAATAGGTATGTGCCTATTTCAGGAAGTTCAGGTTCATCTTCAAATTTAAACTTGAATTATGCATTATCAAAACCAGCCACTTCATTACAAGACTATTCACTTAAAAACTGATCCCCCCTGAGAGAGTGGTTAGAGCAGTAAACTTTACCAAGCTGAAAATATAGAAGATATAGGATTTTTGCTATAGGAGTAGACAGTTAAGAGATAGCAAAAAAAGACGTTAATTTTGCCTTATTCTTGGGTTATTTTTTCAGTGGTGGCTGGAAGTGGAATCAGAAAATAGGATTATCGGTACATTGAAGCATTAACAAGTGATATTTGTCGTCAGAGAGGCAGGTGTATTGTGACGTAGTAGCCTTATGTCTACAGTTTTCTTTCCTGTTCAAAGTGACCAGTGCTGGGATTGTATATCGAAGGCAACACCATCACTCATTAGGCGCATCAAGTCGACGAGGTTCAAATAGGACAATACACACATTCGCTCTCACCACTAAATAGAGATGAAAAATAACATTCTATTCCAATGCCTAGAAGTTACAAATGCAAAGTAGCAGCTTTTCCTGGTACTATGTTTACAAGAGATTAGTGACACCGATATGAGGTCAAGAGTGAGTTGCTTTAAATTCTGGTGAAGCAATATTTCTGGTTTTCAGTGGCTCATATCATCCGTAGCTTAGATAGAATGCAATGCATGCCAGAATAACCTTTTATTGCATATTTGAGAAAAAGAGTGGGCTTATTGCTGGTGGAATATAGCTGAAGGTGTAAGACATGGTGCCAAATTATTCAAAATACCTAGAATTATAAGTAAACTAATATTTGGACATATTTATTCTAATATATTTGAGCAATCTAGCAAGAAATCATTTACCATCAGTCGTGAAACATGTATTCACATAATTAACAGGATGTCATTCTTACATTCCTACAGAAATATGAACTTACCAGGTAGTTACTACACTCACCTACTTTCTGTACAACCTGACCTGAATAGTATACTCAATCATCTTAAGAATAAAACACTTGATAATGATTTCCCAGTAGACATTAAGGCTTATCTAACACTTCTGTTCAGAACAATTTAATTTTTCACCCATAGCTAACATTTTTCGCAAACACCAACTGTTCAGTACAATTTGGCGCCGACGGAATCCTATTTGTAAACAGACGTGATGGTCGAGCAACTGGTGATGCATTCGTCATCTTTAAAACAAAACAAATTGCCGAGAAAGCTCTTGAAAATAACAAGCAACACATCGGAAATCGTTATATTGAATTGTTCAAGTCAACTCCAGCTGAAGTGAATCAGGTAAACAGAACCATATATATATATATATATATATATATATATATATAATACTAAATGATGGAACAGTAGTCCCAAAAAAGTGGTAAGTATGTACATGTTCGATAGTTTGAACCATCTATATTAGAACACTATACGTTAGCTAGACGCTTATTATTGCACGAGTTATTAGATCTGTATTTCTTTCCCATACAGTTTGACAGTAGTACTTTTCATCTTCTATTTTTTAGATCATAGAGAAACTGTTAAGATGGGGTCCACAGCTGTATGTAACATATTACGATTAACAAAATGCAGAAGACAAAGAAAGTGAGAGTCATCAGGCAATCTTTTAATTGAGAAGAATCATCTGATACTTAACACATCACTTATCACTGAACCAACACTTGATAACTAGGATCTAACAAAATCTAATATTAAGGTATCTGAGTTGTTCACACATCAAAAGATTGATCCATAATATGCGTATAACTACCGCATAATGTTCTAGGATAGATGGTTCAAATTGTCGAACATGTACCACTTTTACGGACTACGATTCCATCTTTTAATGATACAACAAACAGCATGCGGAGAATCTGCTTCATTTTTAACCAAATAAACCTGCACATTTAATAAGCTTGAAGGTAAAGTTTTGTCGCTCGACTGCACGCCACAGTAAATGAAATTATCTCTAACTAATGTTTCTCATCTGACACACATCTATCTGAAATCTTACTTTTTGCACTATATATATGTGTGAGTGTACTAGGAAATAAATGTTGAGGGAAGAAAGTGCAGTTTATTCATCATTTCTATACGAAACAGCTAAATTTTATTGAATATTCCAAAAATGAGTACTAAGGATACACTTAATTTTCGTCTTTCTAGCTTTTGTAATAGTCGTCTATGGAAAAAAATCGATTAGAAAACAGTAATGTCAACACCATTATATTAGTTGACTGCTTGACTAATTGACTGTGGGTTTATAAATGAACATCATCGAAAAGAAATTTTTGGTTTTAATCCATATTTGATATCCTAAGAGGTCTAAATTGATATGACCGTTGTTACTAGAAAAAATAAACAATATGAACACGAAGCATGAAGTGGTTTTGTACTTTTTTATGAGTGGCTAAAACTCATGCCACTTTCACTTAGATGGGAAAGTTGACAAAAAACTCATGAGAAAGCCATTTACAAATTAAACTTTATGATATTCTCACAAAATAGGTCTACACTGAAAACACTTTCATTTTAAAGTGTCACAGAACTGAATTTCTCAGGATTTTAAATACCTACCGATGATGACTATGAATTGTATATTAGAATGGTGGGGAATAAGGTTACCAGTAGAATCCGGTGAACGCTTAAGTCTGACCATTTAGATCGAGTAGAAAATTTAGGGACCACTGCGAAGAACTCCTACTCTCTTTTATTTTCGTTTTCTTACTCGCCTCCCGCACGCCCAAGAACTGCTGGCAAAAACTGTCATTCAACTTACAAATGTCCGTATTCATACGAATAAAATAAAGTAACGTTTTATACATTTTCATGCATACAGCTGATTGAATGACAGTTATATCAGCGGAAAATAGATCTACAGTATCAAGCTGAATTTTATTAAATGACTTTCACTGGTGGAAAAAGCACAATCGCTTGGGTATCGCAATATTCAGTCGGTCTGTCAATGAAAATCTGAAATTTTCAAAAGTATCAGTTTAATAATTCACCAGATTCTATTGTATTTAATAGGTGACTTTATTCATGCATCCTGTTGCATATAACGAATAATCATTGAAAACACTATGAAGGAATTAATACTGATAGTGAATACTAATCGAGCAACTAAAGTGATAAGCGTGTTTGAAGTGCTAAATGTGTAATTTATCTTGCTATATTTGCTCTACAATTCATGAATAATCCTCACCCATACACAAATGAAATCTGCTTTTGCTGTCTCTTTTTATAGGTTATGAATGGTATTTTAAATCCAACCTGCGAAGAACAAGTGCACTATTGGAACAGTTTAACAGAAAGTACTAACAGCATATTCAATACGATCGGTACTGCTTACATGCCACCATTCAATGAAGCCAGTGGTCTACTTTGCCCAAATTACAACTTGAAATTACTCACTGGTCAACCGAATATCTCAGATTTAACATTTTCTCCGCATATTATTCCACTGAATTCGCATTCTCCATATGTCAGTGAATTGTCACACTGTCAGTTGTTATCCCCACAACAAATACTTTCTTTTGGTTTAACAGCAAATTTATCACAAAATGGAAATTTGTGTGTTCAACGTCTTTTGCCGAATACAACTACAAATAACTTGCCAGCAGCCACGTTGACCACAGATCCACTCATTAATTTCAACAGTTTAGATTTTTTAAACAACTTTTCAGGTGGGATTAACACAACAGCATCGAATATCTTGCCGACAAGTCAACGTGCAACAGATTACACCAGACCTATTACGCTGCATTCATCAAGTCACCTTGGTCCAACATTAGTTCTGCCAAGATATCCAATAAGTCCATTATCAGTGTCCAATGGTGTCAGTAGTATTAGTGCAACAGATAACATGAATAATCATTTACTTATACCAGACGCAAATAATCTACAGATATTACAGATATATGGACACAATGGTACTAATGCTGCAATGTCTACCACTCCCGCTGCAACCACTACTACTGCCTCTTCTAACAATAACAACATTAATAGTAACAGTAACAATAATAGCATCAATAATCTAGGACTATTGACCAACCTCCCGAACTTTGGTTTATCTATTGAACAAATCGCTAAACGATTTGTACGTGTATGCGGAATGCCGGTGAATGCGGATATTACAGATATCTTGGTATTTCTTCAAGAAAACTGGCGTAATGTAGCTATACATGGAATACACCTGGTGTATGACGTTACGGTAAGAAATGTTTAAATGTTTGAAAAGATTTAGAAGGCTATCTCTTATTAAACTCTTACTAAACTTTACATTGCAATGAAAAACACAATAATCCATCTGATACAAGCAAAGAATGTAAAGAGGAACCATCAGTAAATGGTGAATTCTTTGCTTAAAAATGAAAGCTAAATGTTGACAAAAATAATTATTAAGATCCCCCAGCGAGTAGACATGATTAATAATTCTCTTGATGTGATTTAAGTTACATAAAAGTACACAAATTTAAATGAAGTTGTTAAATATCCAAATATCCTGGACCTATCGCTAGTTTCAGAAGACTAAGCCTAAGATGTAGAATACTATGCACTGTAACCGATGCAGAACAACAGAAAATGGTTGGGTAAGATGATTGTTTATTCTTCAGCTGATAATGAAACAGATTTACAGTTGTTACTAGGTTTCAAAGTCTGTGAATACAAGTTAATATAATCTACAAAAGTGCTTCTGACCGCAGTTACCACAGTGCTAAAAATAATGATAATAAACATGAACTTTGAAAAGTACTAAGATGAAGTTAGATTTCGTAATCTTTGAGTATCTGACAATAACAATCAAGGGACTCGAAAACAGGCCATGGGTATCACTCAATTAAAATCGGGAAGAATTTTTCGAAATTTTTACTTTTTGCATTCGATTTGGCGTTCTGATTGCAGCGTAGGGCATTACGTTATAACGGAGTGTTTTGAAAATCAAAACAAAATTTTTCGAAACGTCTAGCTGTGTAAGTCACAGATTCTTCACCTCTCCAATGCCTCAAAATCCACGTGTCTTATCGACTAACAGTCTGTTTTTAACTTCCAGCAACTAACTTTTTTGATTTTGTAATCCAGTTATTTTCACCTAAAAACTGATCATTCTTATTGAATGTCATCACTATATGATTCGCATAAATTTGATTTAAAAAATAAACATAGGCCTATTATTTATTTTATTTAAAACACAATGCACCAAGAAATGCATCACACGAAAATAAAACAATATATAAAGAAAGTAGAGATAGAATGAATTAGGGATGTCATCCAGAAGGTAAGCGAGCATTCTTGTGGAGATCATCCCACATTCACTACACCCCCACCACGTGAAGGCAGTGAATAAACTTACCTGGCGGAGACTATGAACACGTGGCTACATGGAGGCATTTCAAGAGAAAGATCGGAGTCTACGCATTGTCTTTCTTTAAACCGGGTATATTCACCTATTCAAGATTTTACCATGCAGTTTTGTTGTAGTGAAACAGAAGGTTTACTTCATCAACTGGCTTGGAAAGAAGTTTCGTTACTTGACAGCAATTATTCCCTCTGAATGATAAGAACTGTGTCGCCTACCTCTATGCGTTTAGTTTCTGGGTTGTCTCTCTTTCATTCCCCTTGATCCAGAAAACATCTCAACTAGTAATGAAGCGAAGTAAACAATCTAGTAATACAAGTCAGAAATTACTAAATGTCAGAGACGCTACCAAACTAAAAAGAGAAAAATAACAAATAGTTAACTGTGCTAGAAAGATACACATGTTAAGTAAGCATATCCACTTTCATCATGTTCGAATTCCGTTAAATATACGGGCGATGTTCATCTCTTCCAATTGGATTCGTGTAATTTCTGCAAGAAAATTGCATTGTTTGCTTTCCTTAGCAAGAATAGCTTTGCGGTATCGCACTGGTTTAGTGAAAATATATTCGTGAAATAGGTGTATGCTTGAGTCTATACAAAGTAATTGGGGTAGACCTTCCTGCAACTCAGTTTAAGTTTTAATGACTGTACCTGAACTTAAAATGTGTATTGCAACACGACTGTAAATTTTATCAGCTCTTTCGAAATGTATAACTAGTCCTTACTTTGACTAGACTGCATCTTGCAACTCATTGTTGAGTTTCAAAATACAGCTGAATAATGTTTTACCGCATAAAAAAAACCTGTACATTTTTTAGGGCCAACCAATTGGAGAGGCTATGATCCAATTCGTGTCTGAGTTATCAGCTCAAAATGTTTGTGAACAGAAACATAGAAGTGTCTTCATTAAATATGGTCTGCCCATACCGATAACTACACGTGTTGATGTGATTCAATGTACAGTAGAAGACTTGAGTCAACTGATTTCTAATATGTCAAGAAATTCAGCAGTTGGAGGATCTCTGTCCAATCTGACTTCATCAACATCATCAAGTTTAATCAATCCATTGGCATTTGCTCCACTGCATACTCTAGATGAGTCAACAGCTATTCACGGAGTTTACGACTGTATTCCGCAAACAGTGCCACTCACATCACAGACAGGATTTGGTATTACACGATCGAATCTATTACGAATTCGTAGTCCAGATATCAATTGGACGCCATATTTAAATATCAGAGAGTTAAACAATTTCAACGTACCACCTCCACCTTTACCTAATTCATCCAATAACCTGACTGGTTCAAATAATACATTTTCTCTACCGACGCCTTTCATCGATAACATAACCAATGGTAGGTGGATGGTTTTTTATTGACAGTGCTCAACTAATAAGATGATTTAGATTAGTCTGCCAACCCAAGAATATCTTACTGTTAGATTCCAGGTGTTGTCTAACTGACTGTTACTTACTCAAGCGTCGTTTCTTTTTAAACTTACTAGTTAAATGGGTTAACACTTTTCCCATTGATTTCGTGGCCACAATCACGTAGTCTGTCATTTGTACACTTGTCACGTCAACTTAGCAAGAGACCGAAACAAAGGGTAAATGTTAATCAAGCAGGGTTGAGCAAATTCATCAGATTTCGGTAGAACCAATCAGCTAAACAATTGGGAAATAGATGTTTCTGATTAGCATGAGACGAACATTGAATGAAGTATAGAAACATGAAAACCGCATGGTGGCATATTTAGTAACACATTGACCCCCACCGAGTGTGGATGTGTGATTCAGATGATTAAGTCATTGTTTAGACTGATGCTTTTATGAAACATTTAGTTTTTTTATCTGTTATCAACAATGTCGACTGGTTCACTCATTAATGACATATAAGGCTTTAGGTGGTGCATATCAGCAGGTATGCATAGGCTTCCTTCTACTAATTGTATCAATTCTGAAACAAATTATGATATTCTCTTTGGCTTACCTTAAACCGAATAACTAAATTAGTACAGTAGTATAGTCAAGTGACAAACTTAAATTGTACAAATCCTCAGCATGTAGTTATTTAAATTGGAAACTGCTATAAGACTGAAATCGATCTTCTCTTCGAAATGCTTAAATTTGAGCCATGATAGGAAAGAAAGCAATCGTTTTTCTTCTGTCACAAAAAAGACAGATTCCGAGACCATACCAGGCGTACTCATGTACTAGTATACAACCCATAGACAGGAATTCTCCGTGTTTATTTCTGTCTCCAGTTGACGTGGTCTGTTTCATAATGAGTAATTCAAAATTTTGAATTGCACTACGCGGCTTATAGTATTAGACAGGTTACTAGAACATTGGGAATTTGTGTCCAGACTCTAGTTCACACGTAACCTTATGTATTTTGAATGATTTGGTTACGTAAATTTTATTGTCAGCCTGCTGCATTTGCTATTTTCGGCCTGAAAATCAGACAGTATGCAAGTTCCTACACATTAGATATGGCTCGTATCTAGTACAACGGGAGATTCTTGACTCGAGAACTTAATTTGCACTTGGTGTTTTATCTCTGATATGGCTATATATAAATGTATTCATTATGACATACCTTGGAGACATATTTCAAAATCTTTCCAGATGTCATCTTTAGTAGTGCCTTACATATGTTTGTTTCTGTCTTATTTCAGCATTGGTACAGTGTACACCTTCATTATCAAATATATTGGGATTTCATATACCAAATTTATTTTACCAAACAACAATTCCTAACATCTATACAAATAACTCACTGAACTTTGAATCAGCTGGGATGCTTTCATCTCAGATCTCATATTCAACAGGCAGTAATGATATTAACAACAATTCTAGTAATAGTAAAAGTTTGCCTGAGTCAAAATCCAGTTCTAATTGGACCAATTCATGGTCGAACGACTCGATAGAAGGCGTTGAATTGATGAATATACCCGATATTCATATGTACAAACCAAACGATGTTATGCCTTCAAAGACAGAGAATAAAGTGTTAACTGTAAACATTAAAGGTTTACCGAAAGATATGTCGATTAGTGATTTCACTAACTGGTTAGAGGAGAAAATTAAGAATTTGGTAAGTTTCATTCTTACTATAAAAATGCTGTTATCAGGAATTACAGGATTCGTGGTTTTAGGCAAAATCTTAGCACAGTTTTTTTTTAAAACAAAAGTAGTGTATCTATCAAAGTATGTTCTCAATCTAAAACCATAAAATATGGCAAAATAAGAAGCAGAATAGCACCGTCGCCAATGCCTTTCTTTAGTCCTTCATCTGAAATTGTGTAGTGCAACATTAGGTACATTCTAATATCTCTAAAACAATTTGGTTTAGTTCAACTGGTATTCTTGTTATCACACTGGATAACAAACTTGCCACAAGTAGTTGGAACCGAGCTGCGAAATCTTATCTCCAGTTTCTTTTAAGACCAATTATTTGGGCAGTAGATTATGAATGCACACGATCAATATTTAGCCATAATGTTAACAGCTGTTGGCTACTGTAAGAGATTTCCAGTTATTCTGTTCACTTTTCTTAACTGTGTTATTTCCCTGTACTCATCACCAATTTGAGTCATAAACATTGCCATTCTCATAGCCTTTAAAAGATTCACAAATTAATATACATGGCCTGGTTCCAATTCCATAATGGATAATGGCCTTGTTACAACTTTAGCTTACTCAAATCCAAACACAATGGACAATTATTTGAGGAATGCTTTCATTCACTCCTGGACTAAAATTCATGAACACGGGTAACTATAACCCTTTTGTATTCCAGAAAACCGTCATATATAATAGGTGTGCTCATATCTGGGTCTCAATTCATCTGAGAGTATAATTGACTAAGTTTATAATTTCTTTCCAGTTCTACGGCAAACAGAAATTATGTTATCAGTATTCACCAGTGAAGTAAATAGAAAAAAAAGCATAAATTGGCATTTCACTAAGTGATGCTTTTACTTTGAAGAAGTCTCTTAATTTTTGCTTTTGCTGATAACAAGAGATTGCAGTCAGGAATACGGGTGGAGCAGTTTTCCCTTGGTGTCATTGTCCAAGATCTAATCCCAAAACTTCTCACCTGTATTTTATCTAGTTAACAAGACATCATCCAAATTATCTCCTAGATTAAAAATTCGAACCCTTCCCAGCTACTTTGGTTCAGGCAGCTAAATGGTACCACAGGTCTTCTCACAATACACTGAGGGACTAACACGCAAATACAGTTACCCCACTAAAACTACATTTATTTTGGAATTTAGATTTTCTCTTTTAAAACTGCCGATGGACAAAAAGGTGAAGTATACATTCTTACTACTTAGCAGAAGCTTAGAATGAATTCCTAAAAATATGATACAGAATTGTATCCTCAAGTTGTCAAAACAAAACTTCAAGGCACTGATACAAATTCTCCCGCAAGGTTGAATACCACTTTTTTAATTATGATTATTATTGTGCCATGAAAATAATAACCTATTTACTTAAAATACATTTTTGTTATACAGAAGATAATGTCTATACATTTCGAGCATTCATTGAGTGAATTATCTAGCGGTAATGCAAAACTTTATCTTCAAAGCAATTCGGATGCAGAATTAATTGTCCAAGAGTTCAATAACACTATTATAAACAATTTTCAAATCAGCGCTGAGATTAACTAAACAAAATGACAGATGAGAAGAAAGAAGGAATCATATTGAAGGCGATGAAACTAACAAATCAAAATTAAAACTAGCTGACTTCTGAGTTAAGTACTTATTTATTAATGTAAGAGTGGGGAATGTATTTCTCCTCCATTTTCTTCCCTTTTTGTCCATTTATACATTTTACTTCGTTTTTTGAAATGATCTGCCATAATTATTATTGTGCACTGAATTGTTTTATTTTTAAATGGCCCATCTGTTGAAATGAGTTTGTGATAATTAAACAAGATCAGACATTTTATCGTATAATATCTGACTCAGGGAATCAATAATGGAATACAAATTTATACTATGCACAACTAATGCGTAAGTAAAAGTATCTTGCTTTACTGCGTTACATGATAGGTGACCTATCTGATATAACCACTAAGCATATATAATCGATTAGCATATAAAATCATCTTCATTTTTATGCAGAATAATATGTCTGTGTTGTAAGGAGTGACAACTGGATGATAATTTCAGGCCAAGTAGAAATGCCCGTGTTATAGTGATGTGAGTAGTATACAATAACTCTAAATTAAATAGGAAATATCAAATGGACGATAACTATTTCTGATTGCAAATTCCAAAACAACAAAACACTGTATGATATACTTTCTTGAGAAACATCATGAACACTACCAGATATGACTGACTAAAACTGAATGGAAATTTAGTTTCCACCTATTTGAGGTAAAATTCAGCTTCTATCCCAAATGCCTACAAAGTCACTAAAATAAACATTTTCCAACGTCCTCACGAATAAGTAATACGTGTTCTGTGTACTCTGAGCATTTAAAAAAGTAGAGTGTTTAAAAAATTAGTTAATCCGAACTCAGAGGAAAAAACTGGTCATCAAAAGTACATCATTGATATGTACTAATTATAAGAATCAGTTAGTATGAGTAATAAAAGCTTCAATATTTTCAGTAGTAGTTACACGAACAGATAAGCCATTGACGAATATTCAGGTAACAGAAATGAATTAATTTAGTTGTCAATGTAGCACTCACGAAAATGGGAACGAAAAATTAAATTGGATTCTTAAGATCTAATCAGTACTGAGAGAAATTAACGGGAATGAAAGATCTTGGTGACTATCAAGCAGAATAATCTGAGGATCTGCACTTCAGTGTAGGTAAGTCTTAGCGACTAATTAATTTATTTTCACCATATTAATATTTTAATCTACTCACGCACCCTGAATTATTTATCTGTATTTATAAGAAATCTCTTCTGCCCGTATTTAATAGACACATTAAATGTACTCTATAACTATCAGGAATAAAACCTTGGAATGCCACTGAAGTGATTTAGGCGTTGTTAAGTACAAATTGATGCCAGAAAGGCATTCCGGAAAGTAAAAGATGACCACTATGCACTAGTCATTTCATCTTGCATTATGCACCACTGTGACTGACAGTGCGCATACTACTAATGTCCATGTATCCCACCATATCGGTCACATCTAAAATGAATATAAGAAGCGCAGAGATTGATAAAAATATGTTAGCCCTGTCGATAACTCTGAGTAAATATTAAGTTGTCCATCTAGGAGACAGTTTCAAACAAACATCTTACCAGGATATCTCTTGAAAATTCTGTATCATAACATCTAATAGAAGCGCATTACATTTTCCTTTAAAAAATTTGCTTAAGCTATGGAATGGAGTTTCCGTTGGCTGTTATTCTGCATTCCCGTAGCAATCCTAAGGTCATGATATAATTCAATGTCTGGAGTAGGATATAACACTAGTAAACGCTTTGATCAGTGGAGTATTCCAGCGATTCGATAGGTGATCACCTGACTACCACTAACAAACTCACAGAATAACTCAATAAATGTATGAACTTTTCTACTGACATAGAGCCGACAGAATGTTTGGTAAACACAAACTACTGTGTTTAGTAATTACTGAATTTTTGTTCAGCGAATGAATACCTACCGGTGTTGTGAACAGTGTTTCACTCATTTATTAAAGCCACCGAATTTCTTGCTGTACATTGCTGATGGCTAAAGTGACTGGTTTTTATTAGCATTTAGATTCCTAGAAAGGATATCTTAATGATATTTTCGACCACAACTTGGAGTTATTTGACGGGTGGTGACTGACCGTAAAAGCAAAGGACTCACTACTAGGATGAAATGTTCGTCTTGCAATCCACTATCAGTCACCATCTTTCTAATGGCATGAGATAAGCTATCAATTTTTGCGCAAGTTGTCTGGTTCCTTCTTTAAAGGCTTCCTGTTAAGCAGTATAACTTCGACGTAATGATCGTTCTAAGTTCTTCATTAAGAAACTACGAAAGCACTTGGTCTTAGCTTATTAGGCAAGTATTTTGTTCATACTTTAAACTGTTGATCTCCGAAATATTTTCTAAATAAATAGTTAAATCAGCCTGGTCTTCGTGTAAGCGGTTCAACCCGAGAGCACTCTAAGGTTTTTATTAGTTAGGTTCTTAATAATCTTTAAGGAGCGAAGTGTAAACGGCTTGTGATATTTACTCCTCTGATTGCAGAATGCATTGGCACATGACAGGGTTCTTGTGAAGAGTGGTGTTTCCTTTCTTTTCAGAAACGCATTTTCCGTCGAACACTTTCTCCAAGCAATAACCAGCCTGACAGACATAGAAAGTCTAACAAATAACACCACTTAGCGGAAATTCGTCACGAAATAGTGCTGGAAAAATCACTGACTGGTGAGAAAATGCCCATCAAAACGATATAGGCGAATACACTGATGGGATATGAGATACTGGCTCTAACACATCCCTATTTTCCATTTTATCCCGGAAGTCCCTTAGCCAACTAAACCTACTCTAAAGCCTTTTCTAAATTTGCACACAAGCCAGTTTAACTTTTAGACAATGTTAGAGCGATCAGATTGAGGTGATTACACTGACTGGAACCTCTACCTTACAATCAAGAAGCGAGCTCAAAGAAATCACTGGTTTATACTAGCTCGTAATCAGGATATTGGACTGACACATCGCAATATCGCATAGTTATTGCGTAATTCCGTGACTTTCAATGAAAAACTACAATAGGACTACAGTACAAAATGGACAGATGCATCTGCGTACCTATTCCCTAAAAAATTTATAACAAGAGAAGAAAATAGAGATGAGTCTTTACAAGTTACTAAGAAATTAGGTCTTGTATGTACATCTAAGTCAAGGTCTTCCAAGCGTTGACCTTCAGGAACCACTTAGATGTAGGGAATGCTATGAAATGTCACTCCAAATCAAATCATGTCTACTTTTTTGAACCTGGAGAGGGCGAAAACAGTATTCTGCCAATTTACCAGGTACTTTTCTTGCAAATTCATACTGTTAAGTAGGGTTATAAACCTAAGCGTCATTGCTTTTTAGGTGAAGGATTAGGGTGACTTGATGGACTCTTCCACAGTGTCGAATTAGGTGACCATTCGGCCGTAAATATTCTTTCAAAAATGAGAGAAGTTATTATTATTATTATTGTTCCCTTGGGTTCCTAGTGGAACATAGGGCCTCAACTACACGTCTCCAGTTGCTTCTGTCTTGTGCTGTACTTTTCACTTGCATCCATGTTATTCCATACTGTTTCAGTTCCTCTTCACAAGATCTCCTCCATGTCACCTTTGGACGTCCCACTCGCCGCTTCCCTTTCGCGTTCCACTCGAGCTATGGCCTGACGCGCGATGTCACCCAGCGGCCTCCTCAGCGAGTGTCCAATCCATCTCCACTTTCTCGTGCATGTTTGTTGATCGATTGGTTCTTGTTACGCTTGTTCCCATAGTTTCTTGTTGGTGATTCTTTCCGGCCATCTGATCTTCAGTATGGAGCGAAGACAGCTGTTGATAAAGGTCTGCAACAGGCTGTTGGAAATATTCTTGGTGACCCGCCAAGTTTCTGATCCGTATAGCAAAACTGACTTGACGTTTGTATTGAAAATCCGAATTTTGTTGTTGATGCTGAGGAGTGACGAATATTTCCAGATTGGTTTCAGGTTGATGAATGTGTTTCTCGCCTTCCCGATTCTCGATTTGACATCCTCGTCCGTTCCTCCTGTGGTTGAGACAATGCTCCCTAAATAAGTGAAAGAAGTAACCTCTTTCAAATCCCTGCCGTTGATGGTGATTGGCGTTGGATGTTGCTGCTGTTGTTGTTGTTGGTTGGTTATTTTCATAACCTCCGTCTTGTCTATGTTCACCTGGAGTCCTGTCTTTGCTGCTTCTTCGACCAGTTTGTCGGTTTTTGCTTGTAAGTCTTCGATTTTGTGTGACATCAAACATAAATCATCCGCGAAATCCAGGTCTTCTAGGTTCTTCACCTCGGTTCAGGATATCCCTGTCTTCTCGTTTCCCACTGTCTGACGCATAATCCAGTCCACCACAATTAGGAATATCATTGGTGATAATAAGCACCCTTGTCTGACTCCTGTGTTTACTCCAAACGCCTCGCTGAGTTTTCCGTTGTGGATCACTTGACATGTGCCGTTGTCGTACAGTTGTTGAATAAGGTTGATGAATATTTGGGGTACGCCGTAGTACTTGAGTAGTTTCCAAATTACTTCGCGGTCAACGCTGTCAAAGGCCTTCTCAAAGTCTATAAATTTGAGGAACAGGTTTGATTGCCATTCCATGCTTTGTTCGATGATGATGCGTGGAGTTGCAATTTGGTCAGAACATGATTTGCCTTTCCTGAATCCAGCTTATTCTGGTCGGAGTTCTGTATCCAGTGCGTCCTTTATTCTCTCCAGGATGATGCGACTCAGGATTTTACTTGGCGTTGACAGGAGCATGATTCCTCGCCAGTTCTTGTAGAGTACTAACTCGCCCTTCTTCGGTACTTTCACGAGATAACTTTTCCTCCAGTCAGTAGGCACATTTCCCTCCTTCCAGACCTTTTGCAATAATGGAGTCAGCATATCTGCTGTCGTCTCTGGGTCCGCTTTCAGTGCCTACAAATGAATAAATAAATTTATTCTCATAGTACAGTACATGAGGGACGCCAGTTTACAGGCATCATCAAATTGTTACAGAAATAGAACCTTATAATTCGACCACAATTCACAGGCAGTAGCAAGATATGCTTTACATGTTCGCTGGAGATTATACATACACTTGATAAATGT